CGGTAATATTAATTATATTTATAGCATGATAGCTTAAACAAATTTTTTTTTTCACACATTCAATTTTGAAAAATTATTTTTAATAGCCAACATGTCGATTATCCGTCACCACCAGTTGATTGCAACTCATTTTTTAACAGAGACGCTTACGAGAAATATTCGGTTTATTCATTTCGTCGAGCATGCGAGATTTTTTCTATGCATCAAGAAAAAAAAGATATATCCATTCAAAAACCTGATAACGTTATTGATAAATCACAAATAAATGAGCAAATCACGAGTCCAATTAAAAGTGATGGTAAGGATTATCTTTACGTTACGCGTATATACTGATATTGGTTTTTTACCGATTTTTATTTAAAGACTTATATTGGCATAGATGACTTGATTATGGATGATCAATGTAGTGAAGAAGAATTGGATGAGATAAAGACAAAGTCAAAAATGGCTGTACAGGTGGGGTATAATTCAAGCTTTCCCACTTTAAAAAGGACGACTGATTTGACCTCAATAAAAAGCTCGAAAACTATTTCATTACTGCCCGTTAAGGAAACATCCACAGGACCTCCTTTAAATTCGAAACAGGAATTGTCTTCATCATCTACAAAGACAGTATCAAGTAAAGTTGTGTCAGAAAAGCAATCTGAAGAGGTTGAATCACAAGAGTCTGTAGATGTAATTGGACCATTCTTGCAACTGCTTGATAAACAAAGAAAACAATTAGAAAAGTCCAATGCGGTTCGAAATGCTACTAATTCTGCACCAGTATCACCCATTACGGACAGAAGGGCTTCAAACGTTTCTGATGCGTCAAGTGCATCAGCAACATTCAAAACACACTTTTCTTCGATGTCTGAAGAAGAACACCTCAAATATCTTCAACTCAAAACGCTTTCTACGACTAATGTACGTTTGAACTTTGAATTACTTGATGATTATATAATTATGCTAATTTTATTTTTTTAAAAAAAAAAGCCTACTTTGATATCTGAACAAGACAGAAATTTTCTTTTAAACATGAATGAACGTCTTCAAAAAGAGAGAGAGGAATATATTAAATGGCAATATGATAGAGCTCAAACACGACTTTCATTCTTAAATCAAAATATAGCTGATCATGTAGAGGTTTGTTATAGCATTACATTTTACTTTTTTGTATTTACATTCGAATTCTACTAAATTGTATACAGCATCATCTTACATTCAACAGACAACGCGTTATTAAAGAGTATCCGGTAAGTATGCACGCTACATTTTTAAGTGAATTGTTGTTTTCATATTTCATATTATAACATATTTTGCTTTTAAAAGCGCTTTTATGAGCTTATGTTTACAATAGGCCTTGCACTTCCGCCTCCAGGCCCTGGAGAACCTACATTAAAGTTCAAGCAAACAATAAAAGCAACTGTAAGGCTATATAATTAATGTTATAATCCTTTTTCTTTGTTATCTCACAATCACTTTCATATTTAATAATTGTAGGGAACGTGCTATAAGTTTAGTCTTCAACCATTACCAAAACCAATACCTATATCTAGGGTCAAAGAATATTGGGTACATGATAAGGCTTCTGATACGTTTAATGCTAGCGATCCAACTGATTTGCTAAATGGTTCGAAGCTAAATAAAGACATAGAAAATGATATAAATAAAACCCTAATCAGTAATGATAACAATGGCGGAAAAAAGACTGTTCCGCCTGCAGATTATTGGCAAAAAATGGTATTTTTCACATTTATGCTATTTATATTTAATTTTTTTTTTTTTTAAACATGTATATTTCAATAGTGTATGCCAGCAGTTAGCAAAGATCCATTGATTCATTCAATGGTAGCTCAACACAAAGTCGACGTAGTCATATCTTCAAGTGGACTTTGTGCTCTTGTGTCACTACAAGCATCTTCAGACGTCGAACTCGAGATACCTATTTGCGTTACTGAGTCTGAAGCAGGTAACTTTTACTTATGCTTATACTAGACATTTACTTAGAAATCATACTAATTCTGCCGTTAATTACATTTAGAAAATTCCATCCTTAAAACTATATATATTGACAAGCCTCTGGTGGAAAAACGCTTGACACCTAGAAAACGAAATCAACTCTTTTACGGTGTGGCATTTGAAAGTCTTGCTTTGAAACAGGGCATTGATATTAAAAATGTCTTACGTCCATCAGAGGAAAGTTCGTGCGATGGACCTAAGAATGAGGGTATTTTATTTATTTGTATCTTTCCTTTTTTACTTTATTTTTATTTTTATTTTTATTTTTTTACATGGGATTAAGGGACCAACGATACAAATGATTCTGAGAAATCAAATGATATTCATTCAGGAAATTTATTATATAACCTTTGGAGTTTTGGTGATATAAATATGTTGATACGTTGTAAAGCTCATGGATTTATTCAAGAACCTGATATGGATAAGAAAGTTAAAGTTTTCCAAATTATATATGTTCAAATATCGTTATTATATTGCTTTTTTTTCTGCAGCTTATCTTCATATTACGTTTTGAATATATAGATTCGTATGGTAGGAATAAAAACTAAATTGGAATACCAATTGGATGTTGGATACGAAGATATCACAAATCTTGAAAGAGCTCGATGGTGGATTTATACTTTTATCAGAAATAATGCACATTTAATGCTTGGTAGAATTAATGTACTAAACAATGAATTATGGACTATTGAAAAAAAGCGAATGGCTGATATAATTCCGGACGGAAATTGGTAAGTCAATTATTAAATTATATATAACATGTACTTTGTTTAGAATTAGAGACCAATGGATTTCTTTACATTTTTCAGGCCAAGACCTCATAGCAAGATGCTTCACTATATTTTAAAGAAATTACAAAGGTATTCTATTTTACCTATAATTTGTATTTTTATTGACTTGAAGATTAATAATGATTAATTTTTTCTAACTATTAGCCTTCCTAAAGGATCATATTTATTTTCCCATTTGAAAGGAGAACCACATGCCACGGTATTCAAAAGCACTGATATTGATAACATAGACTTATCATCATCATCATCAGTAACAGCCGATAACAATCCATTAATAATTGTTCCTGAGGTCACAACACATTTATATGATCTACATAAAGCTCATTCTCAATCACCTCTTTTAGACATGGGAACGATACCATTTATACCACTACAATGGAATGGACCTCCTAATCAAATTCCTTCCACATTTCCTATTCGATCGACTGATAAAAGACCTTTTTATTGTTTTGAGTTTCTTAGAACTGGGAATTGTAGCAATTTAGATGTAAGTTATTTTAAATCATTTTATAATAAAGATTCATATCTTAATAACGCATAATAATGTACAATTACTTTTTTTTTGTTTTGATTAGTGTTCTTTCCCACATCTTACGAAAGAGGAATGTGAAGAAACTGGTATTTTAACCAATTACTGTTTCGTATTTGCAGACACAGGAAGGTGTGATAACCGTAACGTAAGTCATCAACGTCATTAATATGTTTAATAAACCATGAAATGAACTTATTACTTATATAGTCACAGTGTCATTTTCCCCATATATTTAAGGATGAATTAGAAACACAAAAATCGCAAGTGCCTTCTAAGCATAAAGCGCCATCAGCACCGAAGAAATCATCTAAAAAGAAAAAGTCCAATACAGCGGATGATCTTCTGTATATTGCAAATAACATAATTGCACCAGAAATTCGAGATTTAGATGACATGTCCGTTATAGAAAACAAGGAATCTAGTGCTAAACCTGATTTTGACGCATTGCTAAAAGGATTCAACCAATAATTAAAAATGATAAGTTATTTTGTAAGTATTATGTAAGTATGTAAGGTATTATGAGGTATTGAGGGATGATATTTCACAGAATATTAATCTATATTGTTTGCATAAGTTCGCTTTCGCGTATTATTAATCAGAAACAACTTTTTATACAAACAATTGTAATTTTGAATGTCAAAAATATCATTTGTAAAATCTTAAAAAGAAAAAAGAATAAATAAGATACTTTAACAGTTCAAAACTCTTACATATTTTCAAAGTGATAAACATTCGGTTAATGAAATTAATCTATAACTTTGTTATAACTTTGTTAATTGATTAACAATTTCTGGTAATAAATCACCACAAGAAAAATCAATTTTTAGAAAAGATAAATTATCACCTCTGGTTTCACCAAGATTGATAATAGCAATATCTTTATCTAGATCACTAGCAAGCTTGATGATTCTAAATGCAGAATAAGTAGCTAATGAAGAACCGACCACCAAAATACTTTTACAATTTTTAACTAAATCTATAGACTTTTGCTTTATGTTATCTTTAACATTTTCACCAAAGAATACAACGGAAGGTTTATAAATTCCTATAGAACATTGAGCACAAGATGGATAATTGAAAGAATCATAAGAAGTACCGTGAGGTAAATCTATATCACCATCAGGTCTTACAACAGGAGTAATTTTTCCCAACTCAATATTATTTAAGAAATCATTCCATTTAGGATTTAAATTACTTAAAATTAATTGATAATCAGATCTTTGTTTTATATGACCACAATTTAAACAATGAATTTGATTTAAAGAACCATGAAGTTCTAAAATATTTTTAGACCCAGATTTTTGATGAAGACCATCAACATTTTGAGTTATTATTTGTTGAATATAATTATTTGATTGTAAATTTGAAAGAGCATAATGAGAAAGATTTGGATTTGCTTTTTTCATTAATGGCCAACCTAAATAAGATCTTGCCCAATATCGCTGTCGAAATTGATGTAGAGATGCAAACTTAATAATATGACATATGATAAATATGTTAACGATTTGTTTTTTTTTAAAAAAAAAATTATTATAATAACTGATAATAACAATAATAATAACT